CGAAGGCCTGGCTGGCGAGAACATTCCAAACCAACCAGAACGCTGGCAGTAGAGGACACAGAGGCGCCTCTCCCACCCTGACCAGCCCATCACCCGCCCGCCACGCAGAAAAGGCCCCTCTGGCTCCTATTTCAACCTGATAGGTTGGGACCAGCCTTTCCAAAATCTTCCCTCCGGCCCGGAAGGTCAGGGTATTTTTAAGCTAGAAGAACCAGCCAAGCCGGTATTTTTTTTAAGTGTTGGGAAAGAAAAACTAAGATTTGTTTTTAATCATTAGACTTTCAAATCGAAGAAGGCACGATGCAAATAGCACGTTGGCACAAACAATTGCTGTCCGCTCAGTGGAGGCAGGGAGCCGCGCTTCTGAGCTAATTTAAGCTATCTACATGACAGCTATTTTTCATCTCTACTTTGTGCGACTTTCTCCTCCGCTCACGGTCTGGGGAGGGATATTAGTGGGCAGGAGATGGGTGGGGGGAGATGAGGGTTAGAAGGAAACGAAGAGGCAGTGGATGATGCTCTCAACCACCAAGCTGGTTGGTGGCATCTCAAGAGCACAGGAGTAGAGCTGGTGGCCCTCTAGGACTCCAGAGTATTTCATCTGGGTGAAAGGTTGATTTTGAGTCTGCCATATAAGAAGAAACCCAAGAGCAGCCGCAGTCAGGCTCCTTTTCCTCCTCTTTGCACGTAACATTCCACGACTTCCAAGATGCCCAGACTGAAACGCAGAAGAAACTTTTGCAAACCTCCTCGAGAAAGAGCGGTCCTCCTGGCTCCCCTGCACACCACCATACTGTTCCTTAAGGCCCCTGTATGCCAGGCCTTCCAGCCCAGCTGGTCCGGGCGGGGGCGGGGGCTGGGGCGTAGCATTCAGGCCTCGGCAGGGAGCAGCTGTCCCCGAAGATAAATGATTTATGGCTCAGCAGACTGATTACCAAATAGGATCATGCGCAGGGGCTTAAGGACAGAATCTTTCTTTCTGCGTTTTCCAGGTTCCCTGAGAAAAGAAACATCTACAGGGCCCTGATAGACTGTCCACCAACTACAGCCCCAATGACTGGGCTTCTGGAAGTTTCTGAGACCTGAGTTCAAAGCCCACCTCTGCCTCTTAGAAGGGACCTGAGCTTGGGGAGCTTAACTTCCCTCTCTGGGCCTCAGATCCTGCTTTTGTGAAAAGAGGAGAAGCAGGAGCTCAGGAAGCTTCTCTCACATCGTCCTCAAGCGGCAACCCCAATGCCACTGGGGATGCATCTGTGATCAGTGGGAAGGCATGCTGTGATTGATTAGTGATGTCTGCCAAGAGTACAGGATGGGCAGGTGGGGGCAGCTATGTTAGGTATTTGCCCTCCTTGGACCAAATCTTCCTCCTCCTAGATCTTACAGATAGATCTTTCTAGATCTTCATCCCAATGACCTGGTTGAAGATAAAAATCTCAGGGGAGAACCTAGTTGACCCTTCTGAGGGTGTGACATCCTATATAATTTTTACATTGGTCTCCAAGCCATGTTTTGTTGGGGAAAAGCCATCGGGGGCAGGGGTCAAGTTTTCTGGGGCTCAGCCTTTCCTAGGATCTACTTCCCCCCTCTCTTAGCAAGTGCACTATAAATGCTGGTGGTCAGCTCTTCCCCGGGGGCCGGCACACTGCCATTTGTTCCTGGAGTCCCATGTAAGATATCAAGTCAAATTCGAAGAGGTTGATCCTTTTTGGGATTCAGAAACCAGACTAGAAAAGCTTGGAAATAGCAGCCTCCCAGTAGCGGTCTTTTAGAGACTCAACTACACAAATAGTGTCTTCAAGGTTCTGATTAGTCCTGCCATCAAGAAATAAGTTTGATCTCATTTTACCTAAGCATTTCCAATGTGTATTTGCCCCGGCACCCTTTCAATAATGCAATATCCAGCTAGTCTTCCAAAGAATGAATGGTCTATAGAATATATCTGGGAAATAAGGTCCTACTTAGACCAGGCACGTTTTAGGCAGAGCCTGGTGGAGGAAGGACAGCCATCTCAACCCCATGAGACAAGTCCTTCAGGTTCTTGGGGTTAGGGAAAGGGGCCTCAGGGTCCCAGTTGGGGGAGGGAAGGGCACTCCCTGGTAAGCATCTTGGGAACACAGGGAGCGGCCAGGCTGCCTGGCGCAGGGCTGCTGGAGGAACCCAGTTGTTCTGCCAACGCGGATGCACATTTCCTGGAAACCCGGTCCACACTGGCAGCCTGCCACGGTGATAACACAAGTGGAAGCTTCCACACAAACTCCCACGAGGGCCCCCGCCTTCCCCTGCACCCTCCCTTCCCTGACTTTCAGTTTTTCCTCCCGTTCTCCTGGTTACAAGCTGCAAATAAACCTCAGAGGCTGAGACCCTAACGCCCCACGGGCAGCTGAGCGTGAACCACTCAACGAGGTGGTGCGTTCCTGGGAACAGGCAAGCCCAAAGACTCACTTTTAAAAATGTTGGCTCTGCAACTTCAGCTGGTTTCTGTCTCTGTCCTCTGGGTGCTTTGCTGCCATGGGGATAAGGGGACCTACCTCCCAGGACCACCACGGGAATGCAACAGGCCCGGCGCGTAGTAAGTGCTCAGTGAACAGTGGCTGTTAGAGATGGATCCTTACGCTGCCTCCCAGGCCCTAGGCACCCGGGACACCTGACCCAGTGGGTCACAAGTCTACTAAACCTGGCAAACTCATCTTTCTACAGCATCTTCAACGTGGCCTGGCAAAGGGGAATCCCGCTACCACCCGGCCCTGCAATGGAGCCATCTAAGTCCCTATGCCAGGGTCTCACTGTCCCTGCAGAGCTGTCTGTGTTCTGTAAGCATTTACGGGCCACCTGCAAGGTGCCAGGCGCCGCTGTACATGTTGGCAAATAGATGAAGCCAGTGGTCAGTGAATCTGCGGATTTTCCCCCAGTGCTCCGCCCTGAGCTGGGTCCTAAATTACACCGGGCAGGGACTGGGGGGCCTCGAGAAAGGAGGCAGAGGTTTGGGGTAACAGCCAGGAGCAGTGACCAAAGGGGACAGAGCCCTGCTGTGGCTCCCGCACTCCAAGGCCTCCTTCCCCTTGGAGTTTGGGGTGACTCCCCTGCGACAGGTGTGTGCAGGTGGGGGCAAGGTGGGTGGCATCAGGGAGCGTGTCCACAAGGGCCCGCCTGGGGACTCCCTCGTGTCACAGGCAACGCTGAAGCAGGAAACAGCACAAACACAGCTCATCAAGGTCCCCTCCTTTGCTGAGAAAGAGTATAGATAAAATCAAATGCTGTGTCACCAACAGACGGGGCTGCAAAGCACATGCAGTGGTCAAGTGACCGTCCCACGACAGACAAGCCCCTTCCACACGGGCTGCTGCCTTCGCCCACAGAGCGGAAGTCCGGGACCGACGGGATTCAGTGACGGGACGTGCGGAGCAGGGGCAGGCTGGACAAGCATCACGACGACGGCCAGACCCTGGCGGCCCAGGGTCTCTGGGGAATCCACCTCCCAGGGGCACCAGTCAAGGCACGAGAGCAAGCTCCTTAGATGGCGTTAGGGGTTGAGTCGTGTCCCCCAAAGGAGATGTTGAAGCCCTGACCCCCAGAACCAATAAATGTGACCTCACCTGGCAACAGAGCCACTGCAGGTGTAGTTAGTGGAGATGAGGTCGCGCTTGAGTAGGGTGGGCCCCTAATCCCACAGGACTGGCGTCGTCATGAGGGACAGCTGTGTGCAGACAGACACACACAGGGACAGTGCCCTGTGATGACGAAGGCAGAGATTGGAGTGACGCGGCTGCGTGCCAAGGAATGCCAAAGATTGCCGCAGACCACGGGAGCTCACAGACGCAGGGAGGGTCCCCTGCAGGTTGTGGAGGGAGTGCGGCCCTGCCACCTCTTTGATTTGGGGTCACAGCCTCCAGAGCTGTCATTTCTAGTGTGGGGTTGTTTCTTGGGGCAGCCCTAGGAAGCTAACACAGAGGCCAGTGAGGCCTGGGTATGCGGGTGGCACGTTTGGAACGTGACCGCCCCCTCCCCCCCCCGCGGGGACCAGTGGACAAATAAGTCCAAGGCTGGGAAGCAGCGAGGGAAGGAAAGCCAGGAACAGGAGTGTTGTCTTGAAGTCACCCCTAAAACGACAAAGCCTTAGAAATCTCGGGGATCTCTATTACGGACTGAATTGTGTCCTGCCCAAGTTCCTATGTTGAAGCCCAAAGCCCAGATGCATTTGGAGATGGGGTTTTTACAGAAGTAACTGAAGTTAAGTTGGGTCAAAAGGGGGGGACCCTAATCCCACAGGACTGGTGTCCTCCGAAGAAGAGGAAGAGACACCAGGGACGTGCAGGCGCAGAGGAAAGGCCACGTGAGGTCCCGACGAGAAGGCGGCCGTCTGCAGGCCAAGCAGAGAGCCCTCACCAGAAACCGACCCTGCCCACGTCTTGACCTTGGACTTCCAGCCTCAAGAATTGGGAGAAAGAAGTGTCTGTTGATTGAGCTACTCAGGGTGTGGTGTGTCACGCAGCGGCCTTAGCTGCTAACACGGTCTTAAAGGCCAGCTAGTTCACCCACTCTCCAATGACCGAACTGCCTCCAAGTCATGCCGAACGGTCAACGTCTGCTTGAACCTCTCCAAGGACAGGGAACTTTCTGCCTCCCGAGGCAGCCCGCGCACCTTGGGGCAAGCTGTCAGAAAGTCCCTTCCCTACCGAAACAGGTTCTCTCCCCCTTCCGCCCCAACCCTGGCTCCTACTCCCCCCTGGGAGCCATATGCAAGTTCATTTCTTCTTCAATGAGACAGTCCTCTATAGCAAAGGCTAGCAAAGCCACGAAAGGGCCACACTGTAAATTATTTTCAACTTTATGGACCTTACCCTCTCGGTTGCAAACATTCACCCATGCTGTCGTCGAGCAAAAGCAGCCACCAGCAATCTGTGCGCGGATAGGTGTGGCTGTGTCCCGATAACACGTTTGTTATTGACATGACATTTGCATGTTATAGAATTTTCATGTCATGAAATATTATTCTTCATTTAGTTTTTTTTTTTTTTCCTCAATTACAGAAATGTACAAACCATTTGGTAGGCTGGCTATGACCCAGGGGGCATAGTTTGCCAACGATGGGTCCAGATTTCTCAAGACAGCCATGGGCCCGGGAGATGCGGGCGGGCACAGCTTCCTCTGCGTACCTGAGCTGATCCACCATAGGTAAGGACAAGAATTGCGGGAGACCGGGGATGGGGTCTGGTTTTGTGGGCAGGGGGCACGATGCGTGTACAAGGGGTGGGACATGGGAAGGGGAGCAACATTAGGTTTCACGGATGCAAGAGTCTAATGGCCAACGTCAGTCAAGGGCTTCCACTGGCCGTGAGTCCCACACAGACGTGGGGGCCAATCCAGGGTAAGACGAGATTGTTCTCTCTGACCAGTAAAAGCAAACCTAGGACACAATGGATCTAAGTGGTGACCTTGGGTTTCCAGCTTGGCTCCGGGATTGGGGACACACAGAGATGTCCCCACAGGAGGCCAAGAGGGTCCTTGGTTTTATGAAAGACCTGTGGCTTGGAAGAAGCTGGGTGGAATTCCTGCGCAAATCCACACGTCCCTCAAAGAAAGCAGAGATGTTTTCGTCTGCAAAGCCAAGGCTTCCTGGTGATGCCTCACCCTGGGGCTGGTCCACATGGGAAGCCCGGACGTAGGAGGGTCTGCCGAGAGCGAGGCACAGACGGGAACAACTGACTGTCCAGCCAGCGACGCACAGGCGCTAGGCACCCGCACGCAGCGCTCACGGGACAAGGGCACACAAACGGATCTTTGCCACGTGGCTCGTGTACAACGAGTTGCAGGCAAGGCTGGCGATGATGTAAAAACATACAGCCTAACGCCCCCCCCCCCTTTTTTTTTTTTGGCCTTGCATAAGATGAATGTAACCTCCTCCCAGTACTTTATCCGGGAATAAAGACGGAGCTGAGCAGGGAAAGCAGGGGTCGGTTCCTCCGGGATTTAAACGGGTGCAGATGGACGCTGGCCTCAGGGAAGTCGGGGTGGCGGAGCTGGGGAAGTCGGGGTGTCAGAGACGGGCTGGAAGCCTGGTGCCCAGCCCGGCTGCAGCAGAGATCGGGGCTGGCAGGGGCAGAGAAGGGAAGCGGGGGACAGGGAAGTCGAGAGCAGGTGACATAAGTCCAGGGATGGACCCAAGGAACCCTGTTCCGCAAAGCGAGAAGCCCAGGGGAGCATGGAAGGCTGGGATTTCCCCCCAGATCACTCAGGCCCTGTCCTTAATCCCAAACTGGCGCTCGTGAACAAATGGAAAAATCGGCCTTTGGAGACCCACCACCTTGCGGAAGGCTGTGTTGGCCATTTTAGTTAATTCTGGAAACAGGAGAGGCAGGGGTGCGTGCTCTGGCTCTCCCGGGCCTTTCCGGTGGCTGGACCCGGCTGCCTCTTCCCTCCCCGCTGCCCTCTCTCCGCACAAGGCAGAGGACAGAGGCTGGAGTCCCCGGAAGCGGGAAGCCCGTGGGATCAGAGGAGCAGGTGTTCGGACCTCGGGCCCCAGTGGGCCACTGGTCAGAGCCGAGGCCGGTCCCAGCCCAGGCCCAGGGCTGGCCCGCGGGGAGGCCTGTTAGGATGGGGCACACCCCTCGACAAGGGCCGTCCCCGGTGACAGCGCAGCAGCTGGGCTCGTGCCAACATGTGCAAAAGGCGTTGGACACACACACACTCGTTGAGCCACCGGGTTACGGAAGGCCCCAGAAGAGGAGTGTCTGCTTGGGAACAGTCCACGCGGGGCCCTCGAGTCCTCTGGTCCCGGACGGTGGGGTGTCGGCAAGGCAATTCGGGAAGGCCCTCTGGGACAGGGGTGTCCCCTGGGCCAGGCTCTCGGGGAACGTGGTGGTCTCATCATTTTTCCCAGTTTGGAAGCGGGCTTGGCCCCCAGAGCATGAACCAGGCTGGGGGCCACTTCGGGGAAGAGACCCCCGTACGTCTGTTTGGAGTTCGAGCATGATCTCAGCAGGGTTTTTGAAGTTCCAGTTCCTCTCTCTGGGAGGGAGAAGCCTGGATACAGTAGCGGCTACGGGAAAACCCAGGCCTGGGCAGTGCCCAGGAGGCCCGAGGGCTGCAGCCACCCTGGCCCCTCCTCGCTGCCCGGCTGCCCCTGCTACTGCTCCGTTTGGGGACAGGTTTCCCTTTTGTGCCAGGTCAGATCAACGGCGTCAGGGCTTTGGGGACACAGACAAACGACCCTGAGGCCTCCTCGTCTTCCACCCCTCTGCACGCCACTGCAGGACACTTGCGTCTCCCCGGCACAGGCAGGAAAAGCCACCAGCCCAGGCGGGACGCAAGAGGGGCCAGGGAAGGTGGGGGCTCTGATGAACACAGGCAGGTGAGGGGACACGGGCTCCGAACGCGGCCGCTCGGGGACTCGGCATCCGGCTAGAGCTCAAATCGCAGAACTTTGACCCTCTTTACCTCCCGGGTCGGGCTTTCTAAGGGCGAGGGGAGCAGAAACCCTTTGCAAACAGGTGACATGTGCACAGCCACTGCACCCAACACGCAGGTGTCCCAGGGACCTGCTCCCACCGCTGTGGGAGGAGGAACTCAATTGGAGCGAAGGCCAAAGGCGGAGGAACGTACTAGAACTCCCCCCTCCCCCACCCCCAGAGTCCTAGTTCTCAGGGCCCCGGCTTCAGGGAGGGCCGTGAACGGCGGTGAACTGTAAGGAGCCTCCAGAAGTTGTCTTGGGCCCTAAGTGGCCAGGGGAGGGGGCAGGGAGGGGAGAAGGGACACACTCTCACAGGACGGGAGAAAAAGGCCGACTCAGGAAACGGGTCCCCCAGAGAGACCCGGAAGGCAAGAGACACGCAAAACCCGCCGCTGCACCGCGGGGCTGGACGCACAGGTGACAGACACAGACCCTGACGGGCTCGGGTTGGGGTCTCCGCAAACAGACGTTTCCAGGGAAACGAGCTTAGCCCCTCCCCCCTCCCCGCCCCGATCTCAGCCTAGTAGCTTCGACTAAGCTGGCGCTCAGCCCTGCACCCCATCCCGCCTCCCCACGCGCAGGGCCGGGGCGCCCCCACGAGACGCGAGCAGCCCAGGGGGGCTCCAGCGCTGCGGCTGCCTGGCTCTCGCTTGTCGAGGTGACACAAGGACAAACAGCACTGCACACAGACAGACACAGGGACACACGGCCCGGTCCTGCGAGCCTGCCCACGTGGGGGCCTCCTGTCCCGGTCTCCACAGCCCAGGGGCTGCCCTTTCGGCCGGTGGCGTCCCCTCTACACCGCTCCCCGGGCCCCGCCGCTCAATGCCCCGTCGCCCTGGCCGGTCCGGTTCAGTCCTAGCTCAGGGGTCCCCAGCCCTTGCCCGAGGAGAAGGGCACAGGTCTGGCGTGCAGTGCTCCCAGGCCGGGCGGGGCCGGTGCCCTCTGACGGTGGGTCTCTGGCCTCCTGAGCTGACAGAGGGCAGGACAGGGAGGAGAGGAGGCTTGGGAGCCGAGGCAGCCGAGCGCCGTCCCACTGTCCGGCGGTCACAGCCTAGAGCGGGGAGAGAAGAGGGAGAGTGGTGAGAGGTCACGCAGAAAGGCCAGTGCCATCCTTTGGGAGCCAGCACGCTCTCAGAGGGCCGGGTGGGGCTTGAGACGAATAGTTCCTGTCCTCTACGAGAAAAGGCAGAAAAGACTTCTGCTTACGTAGGTCCTACTATGTGCCTACATGCCCAATCTCACATAAGCCTGAGGACAGCCTGCAATATAGGCTGTGAATATTTGTGCAGACATGAAGTTCTATGATGAAATCTTGAAAGTACATGGATGAAAAAACTGAGGCTCAGAGAGGTTAAGTGCCTTGCCCAAGGTTGCACAGCCAGGAAGCCGCAGAATCAGGATTTGAACCCACAGCTGTCTCCCTTGAGCATGTAGCCTCTGGACTGGGGATGGTCACCCGGCATGTAAAGGCTGGGGACAGAGGAACAGGGGTGAACCCAGGATCCACAGCAGAGACTCCTGCTAAAAGCGGAAGCTTTGCTGTCCACAGTAACAAAGTGACTCCGTTTATTTTGTTTTCCACTGTGGTCCCATTCTTAGAGTGGCGTCTGGCACATGAAAAATGTTCGATAGACACGGGCTGCATAAAAAAATGAATGAATGAAACAGTGCATGAATGGAAAATTCCATCGAACCTTAAAGTCCCATCCCGACAGATCACAAGGTTTCCTGCTCTTTGTTTTCTCAGCCCAACGCGACAGCAAAATATAGAAAGGAAGGCCCCTGCCTCTCCCTCCAACCTGTTCAGCTGAACTCCTGTCCTCTCCCGTCTCACACCTAGGAGAGCAGAGGGCCCTGAGTGATGTCCCAAGTGACCCTGAGTTTTGTAGCACCAGGGGAGCTCCAACACCAGTGCTCCGACCTGTCTGCATCCCCGTAGCTGGGCAGAGTGCTTGCCTGTTAGAGCCCCTTCTGTCAGCTTCAGACCCGATCCATTCCGAATCCTGTCAGGCTCCTTCCCCCTCCTAGCAGACAGTGGCTGTGGTGGTACAGAGACCACCGGCCACGTGGGAGGTGGCCTCACGGGACCCACACAGGAGTCCTGCTAGAGCGGTTTCACTGCCCTCATTTTTCAGGGCATGAAACTGGAGCTCAGAGAGGCCAAGTGACATGCCCAAGGCCACACAGCAGTGGAGCAGGGATTCCAACCTATCTCTGTCTGACCATGAAGTCTGTGCTTTTTCTAATCATCTGGGGGAAGGATGAGGCCCTGGGGAAGGAAGAGATTCCATCCTCTAATTCTGGCGAGCTCCAATGGCAGGGCGGGGCGTGGAGGAGGGTCTCCTGGGACCTGTGTTCTACGGGACGCTGCCTTGGGGATCTTCATGGGGTCCCGTAGGGAGACTGACAACTGCTCACGCAGGTAGGTGTTTGGAGAACTGCATACCTACACGTGCACATCTGCAGTATAAGAGCCTGTATGTACGTGTGTCCTCACGCACCACGGACTTGAGATCTGAGTGCGCCTGTGCGTGCGTGCACGTGTACAGAGGCACGCTGTTAGTACACCCATGTCTGCACGCGTGTGTAGGCCTGAGTGTGGCCGTGTGCGTGCACAACCTCGCGTGCCTGGGAGCAGAGCCGTGGGTGGCAGGCGCGCTCAGCAGCCTCATCTGGGCTTGTCTCTCTCTCCCCCCTTCTGGAGACATCTGTCACGGAGGCTGGGGAGGGAGGCCCCAGAAAGACGTGCCAGCACGCTCACTATCTCAGGCAGAGAGGCCATCTCTAACCAGAAACAAGGGGCAGTTGCAAGGGCTCTCTCGCCGAGGAAGCCAGAGAGACACTTCTGCAACCTAGAAGCCGAGAACTTTCCTGCCCGGGTGTTCATGCAACGGAGAGTGCCTGATGCCGTGAGCTGCTGTGACAGGGCAGGCTGCCGGCCCAGGAGGGAGGCTTCCTGGAGGCTGGGCCTCAAGAGGGTACCCCGATGAGCTGACATACAGGGATGGGCAGGTTCGGGGCACCACCTCCAACACGTGCTGAGAATCAGACTCACTGGGGCATCAGCCTTCATCAGGAAGAGACAAGTGTGAGGTAGCCATGGTAACCAAGTCCTGCAGGGCAGACCCCAGGACCCAACCCCCAGAACAGACTCTCCCGAACAGAAGCCTGGTGGCCACTGGCACACGGGGACATGGAAAGGAGCTGGTTGGGGGAGGAGCAGGAAGATACAGAGGGAATCAAAAAGGTGGCAAAGGCAGTAGGGAGAGATGCGAACGGAGAACACCTACTCTGCAGACTTCCAGAAATGTCCAGGGTGAGACAGGCGGCGGTTTCGCTTTGGCAGTTTCTCCAACATGTCCATGAGCTTGGTGAAGGTAGGTCTCTCTTCTTGTTCAAAGGCCCAGCAGAAGAGAAGAATGTCCTAAAAGAAACCAATGTGTGGTGACTGAACATAATGGAGACTTCTTGATTGCTCTTTGGCACCTCATTGGGTCTGTCCCTTTGTTGAGCCATCTGCTCCATTTCCATATTCCTCCATCATCCATCCATCTACTCATCCATCTATCCATCATGCATATATCCATCCATCCATTCACTCATCTATGCATCATGAATGCATTTACATATCCATCCATCTACTCATCTATCCATCACTCATGCATCTATATATCCATTCATCCAGTCATCTATCCATCATGCATGCATCCATATACCCATCCATCCATCCATCCCTCCATCCATCCACTAATCTATGTATCATGCATGCATTTATATATCCGTCCATCCACTCATCTATCCATCATGTATGCATCTATATATCCATCCATTCATCCACTCTATCTATCATGCATGCATCTATATATCCATCCATCCATCCATCTACTTATCTGTCCATTACTCATGCATCTATAGATCCATCCATCCACTCATCTATACATCATGCATCTATATATTCATCCATCCATCCACTCATCTATCCATCATGCATGCATCTATATATCCATCCATTCATCCATCCACTCCTCTATCCATCACTCATGCATCTATATATTCATCCATCCTTATCACTTCACTCATTCATCCTTCATATCATCCATCCATCCATCCTTCTACCCATCCACTTTCTGAGCTAATATAGCAACCAGATAGGCCCTATGCTAGAACATCTGAGATACTTCAAGATCAGTAATACTCCCCAAGGAGTTTCTTGACATTTTCTTTCAAAAGGGAGGGATAAATGGGAATCCTGAGGTCTCCATCCACACTGAAATACTATAAGAATTCTTCACAGAGGAGAAAAAGTTACTTTTAGTAATCTCCTGACCGATAAATAAATCTAGAGATGGGTAATCCTTATTTATATATGTACCAAGTAATTACTCTTTATCTGAGTTATCTGTCTTGTGATCAAAAGAAAGAATTCTTCCTGCTGTGTTCTAGAGGACGATTGTTAATTTATACTCAGGCTTCTCTGTTTTTGTATGTCTTTAAAAAAATATTTTTTAATCCTCATCCTCTATGTGATGATGTATGTATATCTTGTTATGACTTGGAAAATACCTTAAAATTATTATATAGATGCAAATACAATTAGAACCATTAACATATTTGTGATATTTTAATGAATATCTTTTAAAAATACCAGAAAAGAAGGATCTATTGCTTCTCCCTGACTCAGCAATGCACTGTTAGGAAAAACCGGGCCAAGTGTTATGGTGCCCCTGGTGGCAGACACCAGGAATTGCAGGCATAGTGCAGCAGCCTTGTCTTCTAAGCTTCAAATCACTACCTGACAAGGCTTCAGTGTGTGCTTTTTGGATCACTCTCTGGGAAAACATTTGTAACCCTAACACACAGTAAAAAGAAGGCGCAGGACTGTATCTGCTTCTCTCCTTGCTCCCTGGGCCAGGACTTACCGAGATTTCTTTTCCCATGCCAATCTGGCTGAGGTTGGGTTTCATGCCTGTGCCCATCTGCCAGATTATTGCTTCTGCTGGTTGGGTCTTGAAAGGCCACTCCCTGGCATGGAGCTCATACCAGATTGTGCTGTTGACAGACGTTAAAAGGGTGTTGGTATGGTATGTCACTCGAGACTGTGTACCCCCTCATCCACACAAACACACCCAGCCAGCCTCCTGGTGACCATCCCTCTCTCCACTGTCTTCCTCTTGGGGTTGGTATTTTGCCACTAGAGACACACTAAAAGGTTCATAATGTCTTAGAAGTCATGCTAATCCCAGGATAACTTCTATTAAATCATTTAATGTGGTTACAATCTCTGACCCTATATCTGTAATTCTAAGAAATCGTTGCAAGTAAATAATTAGGTATGCAAACAAAAATTAATTTATAACGATGTTCTCTACAGCATTATATATCATATTTTAAAAACCAGAAATGACATACTTGTTCGATAACAAGAACTGTCTGCCTGTATTATGCTAAATTCATAAAACAAAATGGAATACTCTAGCATTATTAAAACATTTCAGAGAAGTTTTGCTGACATAAAAAATATTCCATACATAATTTTAAGTGAAAAAAGCTGAGTGTGAGACTGTCTAGAAGGTATATTGTTGCTCTTTTAAAAACAATTACATGTGTATGGAGAAGAGAATGAAGTGAAACCACAGCAAAATGTTAAAAGGGGCTATATCTGAGTGATAGGATAGGATTTTTTTTTTCTTTCATATTTGTTTTTTCTAAGTATGAACCATCTGTGGAATGGTGGAAAGAGAAAAGAAAGATTTGAGAGTCAGAATGGCTTGGGTTCAAGCCCTGATTCGATCCCATGCCAGTAGTGTGGTGGAGAGGTCTCCTGGTTAAGGGTCACTTAGTTGCTCTGATGTAGGTTCCCTTACCTGTGAAACGAGAGTGATGACAACAGAACAGTGGAAGAATGCTTGTCTGGGACTCTGAATGTCAGAGCAACATGATGCTAAAACTGTTCTAGAGGGATTTACTATGTTATCGTCTGTTTCGGAAATCCTGACGTTGTAAGGAAGGCAGGCAGGATTGCTCCAATGGGTAGCACGTGGCCACGGGTGGGGTGATGGGCCGGGTGGTGTATCAGTGACACTATGAGGCAGGGACAGCCATGAGGAATGCGGGGGCCTGAGACAGGCCGCTGGCGTGTTGCTGAGCTGTACCATGGGGACAGATCTCAGCGCCCTGAGAACAAGACTCCCCAACTTGGGAAATATCTGAAACAATCCTAGGAAATGATATTTCCTTCACTCTGAGATGCTTCACTGTAAATGTGCTTTAAAGAACACGAGTCACTTCATTACCTTCCTTACTGATCAGAGCCCTGTGTCAAACCAGCTACGCCTAGGGTTTCACTTCTCAGGATCTTCTTTCATCTGATGACCCCCTATCTCTGGCTTGGTGACACTCAGGGAGTGAGATACTGAGTTGGATGGTCAGGAAGTTCTCAAGAGAAGCTGCTAGACGATTCCAGTTCCCATGATGAACAATAACGCTGAGTTTTCACTCTGAGACAGACGCTATTCTAAGTCGTTTCCTGGGGCCTGACTTTTTATTCTGATGCTTGGACCACTTGGGACCTCGCTGGTGTTGGCGGGACTGCCACTCCCAGGGCCAGCGGATCCCTCGAGTTAGAGTATGGCTCACCTGTGAGCTTTCTTTCATATTCAAATCAAGTAATCCAGAGCCCGCACCCCCAATCCTCCCAATCCCCTCCTTTATTGGACTTTCACACTCAGGACTTTCCCCACCTCTATGCCCCAGAGCCTGCTGAAATGATTCAAACTAGCCAGTCCTGAGCCGGCTTCCCAAACGACCCCGTGCTGCCCCGTGTGGCCACTGCATGGTGTGGCAGGTCCCCTCCTTTGGGAACTGTGAGTAGTAAACTCTCTTTTCAATGGTGACTGAATAATAATGCCTCATTATTAATTATTATTTAGGAGGCATTATTAATGATCACAGAGCAAGAGGTGCAGCTAGAAGTTGAACTCTGCCTAACTCCAGAATCATGCCGCTGGCCAATACACCATCCAGGGATGCTTATACTCCATCCTATTCAAGAGTCCTTCGTAATCAGGGAAGTGAACAATTTGGGGGTGCCACCTGGCAGATGATGGCTGGAGCCCGGTGAAGGAGACCCAGACAGATTCATGTGAAAGGGGAACAGGTGCCTTCGAGTTCTTCCCTGTGCTGGGTGCCTTATCGATATTTTCTCACTTAATGCTTAGAACACCTCCATTGTTTTATTGTCCTTGATTTACAATTGAGAGAAATAGGGCTTGGAGTGGTGACACAACTCCCGAGTCGACTGGGGCTCCAAGGTTAAAAGCTCCAACTATGGAGTTAGGATGTTCCAGACTCTAATCCAAGTGCCACCATCAATTACCATAAGGCTCATCACTGGGCCATGTGGAGCCTCAGTCTTCTCACCTGTCAATTGGGAGCAACATGGTATCTGCTTCGAAGGGTGCTTATAAAGATTCCATGAGACGCTGCACATAAAACGCTTAACACGGTGCTCAATGCACTTTTAAAAGTTCATTTTCGTTCTAACTAAGTCATTCCCAATCATGAGGTTCCCAAGCAACAAGATGCACCTAATTGGCAGGAAACCCAGAGCACCAGGTCCTTTGGAACGCAGCAGTGTCAGAAATAAAAGCCTCATTAAAACTTCCTTTGAAACCCAACTTTCAAGAGAAACTCACTTTAAGAAAAATAAAAAAAATTGCTATGAAGATGAACACTCCAGCAGAAAACCAATTACTTACTTTGGTACATTTTTGTTAAATATACGCTAAAATATACCGACTTAATTATTGCAATTTAGTCTCAGATAACAATATCTAACTAGATAAAGATTTGGGCATAAACTAATCAAGGCAAGTGACAGCCTTTAAACAGGGCCCGAGTAATAGATGTGGAGATTTCTGATCTTCCAGAAAATACCCGCCTCAGGGGTTTGCAGTGAGAACACAGCAGGGGCCCTTTTCTAAGCAAGTGTAATTGCACTCAGCTGCGAGCCTGCACCTTTCCCAGACTACCCCCCCAGCGTGATCTCCCCCAGCCCTGGCAACCGTCTCGTGGACAAGGCAGGGTGAGCATTAGCGTGGCCCTGTGAGGCACAGAATCACGAAGCCTGGGTGCACCTTTACACTTTTGTGGCTCTGCATCTTGGGGCTGTGTCTTGGACTTATCTCCTCCCACCCTTCCAAAGGCATCTCATTCCCTCTTGTACCTGCAGTTACAATCTATTTGCTGAAAACTCCCAAACTCTTTTCTAAACTAGATGTGTGCATTCAGCTGCCTTCTAGATGGTTCCATGGGTGATCTCCAAGGGAGCAGCAACTCCCTGCGTCCAAACCTGACCTCTTGGCCTTTCCGGCATAGCCTAACTCTGCTCCACCTCCAGGGCCTCTACCTTGGTGAATGACACCACTGTCCACCCACTTGCTTAAAGCGGATTATCTGGGCCTCACCCACATCAAGCTGGACCCGCCATCAACCTCTACGTCTTCCACCTCCTAAACACTTCTCATGTCCATCCTCAGCTCTGATTCTGCGGAGGCTGCCAGCATCTCCCTGTGAAGTGGTCACCCAGCCCCAATCTCATCCTTTTCCAGTCCATTCTATACACAGCAGCAGAGGGATTTAACTGATCCAAAACTCAAATTAGGATTATGCCACTCCCCCTGCTTAATAACCATCCATGGCTCCCTAGTGCCCTGCAGATGGAATGAAAACTCCTTAACTCAGCCTCTAAGTCCCTGCAGGACTGACCCTGCCTTTCTGCCTAGTCTCATCTCATCACCCCCAGCCTTGTCGTTCTCCTGAGTCTCCATCACTAGCCCCCTTCCCTCCCCCTCACCCATATTCCTCTGTTCTGGCCGATGTGTCTTTTACTTTTGTGCCTTTTCACGCATTCTTTCTATCTGGAACACCTCACCCTGCCCTTGTATTCAGCCTTTAACTTAGGCTCAGAGTCACTTGCTCAGGGAAGCCCCTCCTGACCTCCCAGGGGGATTTGGTTCCTCTTTTGTCCCCAAAGTCCTGTGTCAGCCTCAGCGTAGCACTTATCATACTTTACAAAAGCTGTTTCCTTGTTTGTCTTGCACTAGGCGAGACAGAGCACTATAGTGGTTTTAAAATCTGACCACAGATTCTTTGATACTCCTTTATGTATGAGGTTGAGCTTACTTCTCCTCCCCTTGAGCGTGGGCTGGATTCAGCAACTGTCTTTTAACAAACAGAAGATGGTAGCGGTGATGCTACGTAATTTCTGAAATGAGGTCACAAATGGCAACGGGGCCTCTAGCCGCCATGTTGTGAGGTCACTCAAGCAGCCTCTCTCCAGGCCCAGGGGGTAAGGAACCGCGGCCTCCTTCCAACAGCCATGGGAGTGGCCACCCTGGAAGTGGATCCCCGGCCCACTGAGCCTTCGGGTGAGACCACTGCCCTGGCCGATATCTTGCCTGCAACCTCGTGAGAGACCCTGAGCCAGCTCAGAACCACTTGGCTGAGCCACTCCCAAGCTCCTGACCATAGAAACTTGAGATAAGAAATGTTGTCTTAAGCTGTTAGTTTTTGAGTGATTTGTTACACAGCAATAGCTAACAGATACAAGATGGAATCTCGTATCCCCAGCATCTGCTACAGTCCCAGCACATAGCGACCATGCAGTAAATAAATAGTTATTGAATGAATCAATGAGTCCGGTAACTTGTCCTGGCCACCAGTTAGAAACCAGGCACGCAGGTTTGTGAGGGCCATTCTTTCTCCTGTATCTCACTCCCATCCCCCCAATCTCACCCCGAAATCCAGAACCTTGGTCCCTGCAGACCAAGGTGCCTTGGCCCTTCCAAGAGCACCGAAGAAAAGTTCGAGGAGTGCCCCTCCACCCAGGCTGCGAGTCTCAAAGGCCCGGGTGGGGCCCACCTACCCGAGCGCGAACACGTCCGAGTGCTTGGAGAACGGGAGCTTATCTTCCTCCGTGTCTGGGGACAGCTGGCGGATGATCTCCGGCGCCAGGTGGCACAGCCAGCCGTTCTGGATGCGCAATTTGTCCTCCCGCCTGGGGAAGCAAAGCACAGAATGAGCTCCGTCTCGCAGCCCAGGGAGCACCAATCCCCCCCGCCCAGCCCCAGGTCCCTGGAACCACCCCTGCTGGCTCGCTCGCCCCCTCCCCTGCCGCCACTGGGCCCTGCCTGCCCTTCTTCTAAGGGAGGCTGAGGGCCAGCGGAGGGGCAGGGAAGGCTGGGCTGGACAGACACCAACACCCAAACCATCGCCGGCCCCACTGCCTCCGAGGCAGCCCCTTGTCCATCCTCACTCTACAGAGTCGGTCGATTCTTGCTACTCACGGCAGCCCCGTTCTCTAAAGTCACCGGATGAGTGAATCCTGAATTAGTGAACACCGAATCATCGCTCCCAGGGGAACTATGCACACAGGCACACGCGTCTTACATAGGGTAGGCTCTTAGCTCTTAGAAACAGCTTATCCTAGCAGATTCTGCTTTGTCGTACAGAATCAAAAATGGGGTTCAGAAGTGGCAAGTGACTTGCCCGAGGCAGTCCCCCTGATCATTGCCAGAGTTGGGGTTCAAACCCCAGAGCTGGCTCTTCTTTCACTGCCCTGGTTGAGAAACCCTGTTTTAATTTATATAAAAAAAGGGAAATGGCCCAATTCAGCGTTTCAGCGTCCGTGACACATAACTCGCTCCTGAATTCCACGCGAAGGGCGTGATAGGGCACATCCTCAGCTAGAACAGACAGCTCAAGCTCACTCGCGAACGCTTGAGCCGCCAGAGTCGAACAAGTTCTTGCTTCTAGAATCGGGGACACTGCAGGGGTTCAAGGACCCAGGTGCTGCTTACTAGCTAGGGGGCCTTGAGCAGGCTCGACTCTCCATTTTCCCATTTACAAAATGGGCGCGTCGATTTGTCTCTCACACAGATGTGGCGAGGACCGAAACGAGACAGTGCCTGCCTGGCACTGGGCTGTGTCAGCTGCCAGGGCCACATGATGGCTGGGTGTGACTAGCGCATACGTGTTCTACCTCGAGGACTCGGAAATGGAATGGGGACTACAGCCCAAAGAAAGAACGTCCCCCAGGGAAGAGGGGCCTTGGCACGGGCCAGCCAACATGCTCCCGCGATGACTGGGCCAACAGGGCTGGGCTGGGCTGGTGGCGTTGCTGCCAACAGCGGGCGCGTCTTGGTCCCCATCTCTTTCGAACACCGCCCCTCCCCGGTGTGCAGGGCCAGCAGAGGACTGGCACCTCCCTCGAGGCTGGGGCAGGGCCAGGTGCGGCGGCCACACAAGAACCATCAGCCCAGGGTGCGCGTGGGCACAGGCCTGGGGGTTGGGCGGGAGCCAGGCCTGGCACAGACACCCCGGTGCGTCCCGTTCCCATGGCGATGGGCCCACCGGTGACAAACCCAAATCATCTTCATTATGGTTATTATGATTAATAACGGGCTGCGGGCAGCCGGCACGATGGCGCTGGCATCTTAAATGACACCTTTTCTCGATGATGGCAGAACAGCTGTACGCTGGGATCGGTTCGGGTTCGCAGAACACGCCTGCTTCACCGCGCTGCCCTGTCTCTGCGCCCCAGGCCGGGCGAGTCTCCCTGCTACTGGGTACCAAGGACTGTCAACACCCCAAGCTCTAACCGAGGGGAGGGCAGGAAGGCAAGTCACTCGTGCTGAGCGCCTACTCTCTGCCAGATCGTCCATCCCACTTAATCCTCATACACCCGCAACTGAAAGATTATCCTCCTCCTCTCGAAACGTGTAAGTGACCTGTCCAAAGGCGCAGAGGTAAGATCTGTTTGATCACGAGCCTTTAAAACTCCAGAGACTAGACGCCCCTTCACAATTCTACAGGAACCCCCAAATAGCACCGCTAAAGAGCAAAGCCCGAAACTGAGCCCCTCTCATCTCTGTCCCATTTAATCTCCAGGACACCCTCATGAGCTAGGTCCTATTAGTCCTAACCCCATCCCCATTTTACAGGTGAGTAAACTGAGGCTCAGGGAGTCAGATGTATGCAAAATAAGAATAAGTTGCTGTCACCTGTCTCAGGGTGTTATAGACTGAATTGTGTCCCCACCCCCAAATTTGTGATGTTGGAGCCCTCACCTCCAGTGTGACTGTATTCAGAGACAGAAACTTTAGGGAGAAAAATGAGATTAAATGAGGTCACAGTCTGGGGCCCCTATCGAATAGGGCTGGTGTCCTTCCGTGAAGATGAAAGACATCAGAGACCTCCCTCTCTGCGCGTGCACAGAGACGAGGCGTGCAAGCACGTAACCAGAAGGCGGCCGTGCACAAACCCGGAAGAGAGTCCTCATCGGAAACTGACTTCGCCGGCACCTTGATGCTGGACTTCCAGCCTTCAGAATTCTGAGGAGCTGAAGGTCTGTTGTTTAAGCCACTGTGTGTGGCATTTTGTTACAGCAGCTCAAGCAGACTAATGCATGCCGTGAGCACGCCCTAAATATCTGCTGACTGGCTGAGTGGATAACGAATGAGCGAGCTTCCTGGCCTATTGCGTGAAAGTGGGTTTATACTTCTTCCTGCAATGCCTGGGGCCTGTCAGTTCCCCATCTCTCTCTACTCCTGTAATCCAGCCCCCAGGCTGCCGATCTGGGCCGCAGACACCTGTGTTCAGGGGTGTCTCCTGGTCTCCGGCTGCTGCACTGGGGGGACAGCCTGCACTGGGGGCACTTACTGCCTAGAGATGCCTATTCACAAACAGGTGGCAGGAAACCGTGACCTGAACCCCTGCAGGGAACCCTGTGGAGCCCCCAGAGCAGCTCTGGAGGTAAATATTGGGGCAAATTTACTAAAGTGGGAAAGGTCCTAGGGCCCATGGGGCACCCTGAGAGTCCCACCTTCCTGTCATGGTCCCCTTCATGGCTCTGGGATTGTGGTGGAGGAAAGATGGCCACAGCCTTTGCTGTCCCTCCCACTGAGGGGTGGAGTTTAATTCTGCTCCCCTGAATCTGCACTGGCCTTAAGCGACATGCTGGCCAATAGCGTGTGCCAGAATGGATGTTCTAGATGATTAGAAGGTTTGCAACTTCCGCCTGGGCTTTCGGAACACTTGCTCTGGTGGAGTCCAGTCTGGTCACACTGAGACTGCCATGGTGGGAAGCTCAGTGCAGTCAGGCAGAGAGGCTGATGGGGAGGGGAAAGGAGGGGGTGGGGGGAGGCGCCATCAGCTCCCCAGCTGTTCCAGCCAGCCCAACCCAGATGTGTGAATGGGGAAACGTCCAGTTGTGTCCATCCCACTACACCCGCAGGACAGCCTGAGCACAAAAGCACGGCTGAGCCCATTCAATGCACAGAGCCCTGAGGGATAACAGAAATTTGTCTTAAGCCACTAAGTTTTGAGATGGTTTGTTACGCAGCAATACCTAACCCGAACAGGGCTAAGAACACAGGAAGTCACGGATGGCTACTTGCGGATAGCAAGAAGTGTGGACTTCTTGTCGGGAGCTGCTGGTGGTGAGGGCTCCCTGGCCTCTCCCAACACTCACTGGGTCTGTGTTGACATCCAGGCTGGGGCGGGGGTGGGGTGGGGATGACGTCTGGACAGGGAGGCCAGAAGTCACCTTGCCTTGAACTTGGCTGAACTTCCTCCCGGGCTGACACTGGGTCTCTACGAATGAGCTAAAGGAAAGGATGCCCACGGCCTGCCTTCCCACTTCCTGTTCTCCCTCTTCTCCTTGTGGCTTCAAAAAAACCACGAGTGTAAAAAGGAGAAAATCAGAGGCCCTGCACCCTTTTCCTCCACTGGCGAGGAGAAAGGGAGGGAGTGTGAACATGCCACGAAGGGGAAGGAAAACGGTTCTGGAAAGAGCCCTGAACCAGGTGAAAGAAAACACCTGCCGGACTTCCTTCTGTCTCGATGCAAACACTTGGGTTTGCAGCGAAGTCACAAATTGCTTCCTCGCCCTTAGCCTGGGATGCTGGGAAACAAGGGAGCGCGTCATTCCCCTACCAGGAAACCAGGAACCAATAGCTGGTGGAGTGAATCAGAGGGAGAAAGGAAAGAATCCTACCCGATCTCACCCCCCTGGCTTCCTGGGTTCCGACTTGGGGGTCTCTCTCTCTCTCTGTGGATCTATTGATCTATGTGTTGACTGCCTACTCATTTTCTCATCCCAGGCACTACAGATAGTTTTGGAGATGGTGGTAAATCCTTTTTGGGTAGAGTAAAATCTGAAAGAGAAATCTTAAGCTCTTGTGTGGTACTGCACCCCACAGAAACGCCACGTGAAGTTTTGTCCAATTTTGAATAGTCTTAGCTTCAAGCAACAGCTTGAACAAAATTCACTTTGGGGTGGTGGACCTCAAAAACTCAGCGGTTCTCCCAAGCAGCTAAAATGGCAGCGAAATGAAAGAAACCATGAGGTTGTCTTTCTGGAGAGACGTGTCATTCATTACAAGATGCACGATTAGGAAAAACACAGAGGGGTTCAAAATGTGAGGGTTTGTGTGTTTATGTGTGTGCGCGGGCGCACACTCCAAATTAAAAATCACAAGGGTAGACTTTCTGAATTATGGGCTGTTTATTTGGGATCAAGCTGTTTTTCACACTGTCAACCCAATGCGGCTTGCTCTAGGGTGAGTAGTGCCTGAGAGTTAATTACCTAACGCTGGTTAATGATTCTCCTGGGTGATCCTGGGAGGTATATGCAAATTAATACTAATTACAACAACTCCCGCTGCAGCTACCGTGCGTTGGGCATTTGATGTGCACGGGGCGCTGTGCTAGGATGGGGGTTGTCTCGCTTTATCCTCACAAGACCCCTCTGTGGTAGGCATCGCCATACCCACCCCTTCTCTTGCAGGCAAGAAAATCTAAAGTTTGGAGAAGTTGTTTAGCTTGATTAAAGTCACAGTTAATAAAGGGCAGAGCCACGCTGGGCCCCGAGTGGGTCTGACTTGAAATCCTTTGCTCTTAACTGTACTCTTGCTGTACCAAAATCAATTAATTCCTAAGAAAACTCCGAGCAAGGGCTCTTGGGTGATCCCAACTTGCAGGTGGGAACTTGGGACGAGAGGAAAACCCTCCAGTTAAATTCAAGGGCAGGGGCTTTGCGGGATTTGGGGACGCTCTGTGCCCAATCACGTGCGCTCGAAGGTAGGACAGGTGAGCAGGTTGCTGACAGGTGAGCAGGGGATACCAGCGCATGCTCTCGGCATCCCGTACCAGCCACTCAGCCCAGTGACCCAAGGCCCAACCCAGAGTCTCCAAGTCACTTAAAGCCAGGTGGGGTGACTCCCCCACTCCACCATCAACCGTCGAGAGCCCCTCTGGGCCCTCCTGCCACCTCTCACCTGCCAGCCTGCAGCACCCCAGAAATGCTGAAGAGCCCAAAGTCCGTGATGACCACTTTGCCGTTGTCGTAGAAGACGTTCTTGGACTTGAGGTCCTTGTGGAGGATTCCCTTGGCGTGGAGGTAGCCCATGCCCTGCAAGAAGCAAGGAGACCGGGAGTCGTCAGAGAAAACCTAGGTGCTCCCGCCACCCCAGCTAGGGCTCACGCTGCTTGTCTCGCAGACACACCTGCCCAGCGAGACCACACCCGACAGCGGCAGAGCCCGGAGGTGGGTGGGAGAAGGCAGGGCCCTCAAGCCACAATGCACCACCACCCCCAGACCCCTGCAAAGCCACCTCCATTTGCTTCCTGAAGAAGAAACAAAAGAAGTCTCCAGAGAAGAGTTCTATCAGCCATCTTCCTACACTTCCCTTTTAAAGGCGAACCCCTCTGCAAGAGACTCATGCCTTAGACCAGGGGTCCTTAAACTTTTTAAACAGGGGCCCAGTTCACTGTCCCGCAGACCGTTGGAGGGCCGTTGGAGAGAGCGGTGCACATTCCACACATGCGCACTGTGGGCCCGGGAGGAGTCGGCTGCTAAACAGGACAGGCAGCGGCGGCACAAACACCTGGTGGGCCGGATAAATGTCCTTGGCGGGCCGCATGTGGCCCACGGGCTGTAGTTTGAGGACCCCTGCTTAGACCTACTTAAGGTCCTCAAGACATGTTGCGAGACTGGACAATCAAGAACACAGAGAAGAGCCTATTGGCGTTCAAGTTCAAGGGCATTTGCCTACTGGCGTTCGAGGGCAAACATTTAGCGCTGTGCCTTTGTGAGTAGTCACATCTTTTATTTCTTCTCCCAGCTCAGCCCTCACACTTCCAATGGGAAATAAAAGGTTGAGTTCAGCTGACTAATAAGGCACCTGCCAGAGAACACAGGATGTTCCTGTTTGTTTTAATCCAAAACAACACCCAACAATTTGATGTGTCCCAGCAGGGGTGGAGGGAGATGGCTTGCACTCGCGGGAATTCAAGGACTCAAGGGACAAGGGATCCCTAACCAAGAGACGAGGCCCTTGGTCCCTGCATATATGCCCAAGTACCACGGTGAGGAGCTGCAGATGGAAACCAAAGCTTGGTAGACCGTTCCTCATGGTCATGTCTAGGCAGAATTCTTACACACGGATGGGGATTTTTCAGATCAAATCTAATTTCTCTGAAGTGCAGACTGGCAGTCTGGAACCAAACCATGAGTCCCAGGAGCCCTGTAAGGCTTTCTCAGGAGGGGACAGGGTCTTTCTGAGGTTTAGGCAGGAGACCCCAGCGCCTACGGTACCTTCACAATTTCTTGGGCAATCTGCCTGGTTTTGTTGACATCCAAGACGATCTTGGCGTCCCTCACCACCGAATATAGCGTCCGTCCCTTGCAGAGGCTGAAAAGCAAAAGGATAAGATAAAAGACAGGCGGGTGTTCAGAAGAAGGTGACCCACGATAGTTAAGAGAAGTGACAAATAATCTGGTGGACGCGTCACTATTGAGTCTATGGGACGAAAGGCTTGGGACCGAACCTCCGATCTGGTTCCGGGATGGAGGTCTAGGAGGAAGTTCTTACGGATTCTCTAGAAACTCTGCCTGCGGGCTGGCGTGCAGGGCTACCCACGGCATCTAGCCTAGTCCAGAAAGGGGCGTGCCACGTGCAGTCTGTTCATTCGCAGACTCCCAGGCGGAAAGTGGTGCACAAACCAACAACTTGTGGGTGCTGAGACGCCACTCGGCCATTTGTGCCAGCTGCACCCACTGGCCTGGCGTCACCGGCGTGCGGGGACAGCGATGAGAGACCAGCAAAGCGGTGGCTGATGTGTACTAAGCCTCATGGGTCGGCAAATGACGCCGACAAGTCTTTAGCCGGGGGTGTGTAAACGCCAACAGCACCGTCCAGAAACCAGACGCCTGTCTAAATGGAGGGTCTTTCCAACTATTTCCAGGTTCACTGAGTTCGTTTTGAGGAGCAGTGACTTAAGATGAATGACAGGGCGAACAGGATGAACAGGGCAATTATTATGCACCGAAGGTGACACCTTCTCCTTCAGTGGCCCCAATACTCTGCTCCTCCGCAGCGAGCACGATTCCCGGCACGGGTAGGGCGGGTGCCCAGATGCAGTCACCAAGTGAACAAGTGAATGAATGAACAAGTGAATGAATGAATAAGGGAATGGTTGAACACCAGATCTGCCGTAGCGGCCCCAGTCCCCGGCCCCGTGACTGGCTCACGGTGTCCGATGTTGGCCGAAAGACGAAAGAATGTCGTTATGAAAATTAATTTTCCATCTACATCAAAATCACAGCTTGAATTGTTTTCCTTTTAATCTACAATGCTGTGAAGATACTCTAGGCAACGTATCCATTCATTTGGTATTTATCGAGCCCTTGTTGCGTTCCAGGCTTTGCAGAGAATGTATTTCCTGTGTTTGAAGAAGGAACCCAGGCGTCAGACAGCTCCCAGTACGAATTCCAGCACTGCTCCTTACCTACGTGTCACTGAACCTTTAGGTGGGCCACTCATCTGTCAAAGAACACTGTTAAAAATAATACTTGCCTTGCAGTTTAGTATGAAGACTGAACAAGACACAGAGTTCGGTCCAGCGCTTGACAGCAGGTGGGAGCTATAGCACAGAGGTTAGGCACACAGGGATCTAGAGTTCAGACTCTCTATGGGGTTGGGATCCTGACCTGTCATTTCGTGGCTGTGTGACCCTGGGCAGGTAAGTTAACCTCTCTGTGCCTCGGTTTTATAATCTGTAAAATGGGGCCAACTGTTCTCACCTTACAGGGTTATTAAGAGAATCACATCGAATCAGGGGTGTGAAGGTGTAGACACTTCTCCATGCCTAACACACAGTTAAGTCCTCATCACCTGCTGGCCATTATGAGAAGCAGCAACTGATCAATAACACAGTGAACAGAGACACGCACACTTGTGCAAATATGTATCAGCGATATATTCATACACATATCACAGCCGTCTATCTGTATGCCCATCCGAAAAGCCATCGATAACCACCTGTGTTCTCTGACTAGCATTCATTTCTTCACCTGCTCAAGGTGAGATGCCCAGGGCAGCTGACTCACAGGGAGTCTGATTCACCTGTCCCAGGTGGCCCAGCAAGTGGGCGCAAGTGGCCCGTGATGACTCAAGACTGCCCTCCCCACCCCACTTTGGCGTCCCAGGCGGCGTAGTCACTGAGGCTACCACGGAGAGGTGGAGGAGGGGTGGGTTGAGCAGCCAATTAATCCATATTGACATTTAAATATCCGAGAGTGTGGGTGGATTCCCTCCCCTGGATACTCTGTTCTTGAACAGCCACCCACACTCATTACAGACCAGAGCCCAGAAAACACCCTCCCCGCTGCAGAAGGCAGAGCCGGTCATCGCCACGGGCTCCAAGACTCCCGCTTTGGGCGACGGCAGGAAAGTCACGAGCTTCAAATGTCCACCCCTTGTCTCCTTTCGCTGCCTGCACCCTCCGTCCCAGCTGCAGGGGCTGAAGTCTCTGCCTTCCTTGCTCCCCTATGGTCTCGGACAGGTGCCCGCTGCCCGGCAGAGCAGACTTGGTGCGGCCGGTTTGGCACATCTAACCAAAGCAAAATATGCAAATAACCCACGGCCATCAGTGTCTCCCCCAATTACATGCCTAACAGATGTAAATCCTCATATTCACCCAAATCATGTACTAAAATGTTAACAGCAGCCCATTCGCAAACTGCAACCAACCCGCGACGGACTGGATGTTGAATGTCGCACGTGATTTGATGTATGTATACGTCGTGAAATGGCCATATCGAGCTATTTAACACACGCATTCACTCTCATACTTACTTTTTAGTGGTGACACTAAAGACACTTAAGATCTACCCTCTCAGCAATTTTCAAGTACACAGTGTATTGTTATGAACTATAGTTACCATGATGTACAATAGACCTCTTGAACCTGTTCCTCCTCGCTGGAATTTTGTGTCCTTTGACCAACATCTCCCCAATCCTCCAGCCCTCCAGCCTCTGGTAACCACCGTTCGACTATTTCTCTGAGTTTAATCTTTTAGATTCCACATACAAGTGACATCATGCAGTATTTCTGTGCCTGGCTTATTTCATTTAACATGACGTCATCTAGGTTAATCTATGTTGCTGCAAACGACAGGATTTCCTTCTTTTTAAGGCTTAATAATATTTCCATTGTATTTATACACCACGATCTCTTTACCCATCCATCCACGGACGGACTCTCAGGTTGATTCCATATCTTGGCTGCTGTGAATAATGTTGCAATGAACATGGGGGTGCAGATGCCTCCTGGACATACTGATTTCATTTCCTTTGAGTATATGCCCAGTAGTGGAATTGCAGGAACTGGGATTTGAACCCAGGAAGCCTGGCTCTGGAGTTTAGGTTCTTAGGACTCATCTTCTGCTTCTTGACAACTTTCCCTGAGACTGTGGCGCGTCACAGGCGCTCAGTAAAGGATAGCTGTAACGTCACTCTATCCCCTGGGGCAGTGAAGATTAAGGATGCCTACTGTCCTCAGCAGCAGAGCCAGCGTGAAGGTCAGGAGAAGGTGTTTTAGTGGCTGAAGCGTCTATTTAGTGCCTCTCTAGCTACTGGGGTGCTAGGTGCACACACACAGAACCCAGCCATGTGGCAATCTGGGGGAGAGAGTTCCAAGTTGAGGGCACAGCCAGTGCAAAGGCCCTGGGGTAGGACAAAGTGCGTCATGCTTGAGTAACACGATAAAGGTCACATGGCTGGGCTCAAAGGAACATCGCCCAGTGACTGTCCTTTTTAAGGATCTATCTTCCAAATAATAGACATAGCTAGCTAGGTGCAGGTAATCCCAGGCTCTGCCCGATTTGAGCTCCCAAGGCGGTAGGTTTCAAAGTCTGGTGTTATTTTAAACACACCCAGGCTGTCAGAGAGACTCACGACCCCTCTGTTGCTCCACTTCCTTCTAAGCATTCCCCACTTCTCAAAACTCACATCCCACTTAATTGTCCTGCACTCTTTCCCCCTCGATTGAGCAAATAAATCACCTTCCAAGCGACAAGTTGCACACTCCATCAAATTCCAGCCTCGGGCAATCTCTTAACTTCCAAGTTGTTCATGAATCTAACACCGAAGATATTAAACCCGGGGACTCTGGGGCTTTATAATAAAAAATGCCAGGTTAGTTTCCCATGAAAATGGGACATGCCAGAAAGCAAGTGAGGGATGCCAGCTGTCTGCCACCTGCTTAACCCAATGCGTGTCCAGGAAATGAAGAGTTATGGGGTTCCATTAAGTAAGGGGGCGGTGCAGGCAGGCTCACATCCTAGCAAGACAAGAAAGGTGACAGTGGCCCACCAGGCATCAGAACATGCAAAGCAGGACAGCCTAACTGCCCAAGGGTGCCGGGCTGGGTTTTTGCTAATGCACGCCTTTCCTGCCCTCCTCCAGCCTCTGAGGTTGCTGCAAAGCTCAGAGAAGTAGGGAGGTAAAATGAAGTGCAGACACTCCTTGGTCTGATTATAATCTCCTCCCCAGAGTTGGATCTGATTTTGCTAAGAGGGCAGAGATTGGCCACTCTGGGCCCTTCAACGACTGGGATATGGGGTTCTGCCCATCAGGGGCTGTTTGTTCTGCCCCTGACTGTGACTCCACGCTGCTGGGCACCTGGGTGACAGTCTTCCCTCCCTGGTATGGGCTCTGCAGGGAAGGAGTATGCCAAGGCCAGAGGCAGCCGGCTCGGGAGGCAGGAGCCTCCAACTCACTGCAGGGAAACAGTAGCCTGCCGTCCCTCTGTCCCTTGTCACGCCGTGTAGTGGGGCCACTGTCCAGGGCCTGTTCTTCTTGACATTGTCCAAAGACACCCCGAGACATGCTCTTCCTCAACCCTGCTGCGTGTTTTCTCAGTGTCTCCTAAGAGCCAGGCTGCGTCTCATTCAGTACCCTGCACGCTGCGATCATCTCACATCCGCAACTTGTGTTTATGCGGCTCTGCCAGATCAGCTGGCTCATTTATCACTTGCTACTACTTTTCTTCAAATGTACTGCCTTTGAAAAAAAATGACTGTATTTTAAAGGGAAACTTTCTATCGTTACCTTTGATCATTACCAATAGAAAGCTAGAATCCTAACCCCAAATAAGTGTAAAAATAAATACAATGGGCCTGGCGTGGTGGCTCACGCCTGTACTCCTAGCACTCAGGGAGGCCAAGGCAGGAGGATTGCTCGAGGCCAGAAGTTCGAGACCAGCCTGAGTAAGAGCAAGATCTTGTCTCTACAAAAATAGAAATATTAGCTGGGCTTGGTGGCGCATGCCTGTAGTCCCAGCTACTCAGGAGGCCGAGGCAGGAGGATCGGTTGAGCCCAAGGAGGTGGAGCTTGCAGTGAGCTATGAT